GTGCGGTCAGGACATATAACTACGCGTTTTACCAAAAAAATTGTGAAATTTAAATTGAACCGTGAAATCAGTTTTTGTTTTTCAGCAAAATTTTACCTCAAACCCAAAAGTGACTAAATGCTATCGCTAAAAAGGGCAAAACACCAGCTAAAAGCTAATGATAGCAAAAAGCTGCTCAAACCTAACTTGCAAAAGGCTGGTTAAATGTTAAAAAAAATATCAGAAAACTAGCTAAAGGCAAAGAGAAGCAAAACTCTATCTAAAAGCAAAAAATAACAAAACACTAACTATATAACAAAAGGCTAGTTAAATGCTAAAGTAATAAAAGGCTAGTAAAAAAACAGCTGTGAGTAGAAGTAGAAACTGAAACCAGCAAAAGACTTCCTAACAGTAGCCAAATAATAGCTAAAAGTAATAAAAGGGCTTAATGAAAGTAGCAGAACGACAGCTTAAAAACTAAAAGTAGAATAAGAAGACAATAATAGAAAAGGCTATAATAGCAGTGTGTCAACTAAAATATACAAAAATGATATAAAAACATGCAAACAAAATGTGTGAATGTTGCCTTCTCACATAAAGCTGAAGCCATGCAGTTAAAAAGCTAGTTTTGGTTTCAACACCTTTTATTCATCACTACACCTATTGTGCTTTTATCATTCGACAGTAATCAGCCACACCTTCTGGGACTTTCAAACCAAATAATCTAAGGGTGACCTTTGTTGCTAAGCAAATGAGAAAGGCCGAAAACATTTCACTGCTATTTCATCAGTGCCTGTGTGACCCTCCCAACACTTGCTCAATTTAATCATTGCAAAACCAGAAAGTTATACAAAGTTGACAAGAACTCACTTGTTTGTGCTACTGTTCAGATTGTTTTTTTTATGTACTTCCCCTACAGAATATTTCATTATAACTGCACCGAATATACCTCCAACCACACTGTTCATCCTAATTGATATCCATCATCCTGATACCTGATTCTGCAGAAAGCCAACAGGAATTTACCAGTATGCAACCTAAAGGATGTACACTAAACAGGTCAAACATGACTCGAAGGCTCCACTGTGCGTTTTTTCAAGATTACACTTACTTTTCTTCAAGCGGTCTTGGGAGTTATGCTAGTATGTGTCTAGAAAAGTAAAGCCAGACTTAAAAATACGGTCACTTCCCGGCTCCTCTCAACCTTCTCGTGTTAAAGCGAGCCACGTTTTCTTTTTGCATCTGCTGCTAAGCAACCAGCACACTTTATAGTCTCGTAAAGAATTGCAGTCTTAATCCAAACTCGAGTTTTGCAGAGTCAGTCGTTTCAGCCTTGTGCATATTACGTGTCCTGGCAGATTTTCAGAGAACCCAACAGCACCATCTGTCACATTCTCTCATTTTAAAGGTCGATGCGCAAGCAGCCCTGCTTATGGAGTCAAGCATTTGATTATCATTGCAGCGACTTTTTAGTTTCTAAGGTACTTCAAAGTTTGTACACTTTATATTTATATTAAGATTTAAAAGCTAATGAAAAAGAATGAGATATTAGCCAGGGATTATGATGCCAAGATAGGAAATCTTTTATTACAGAGAAAAAAAAAATATTCCAAAATATAGAAATCTGTACAACTTCCGCACAATCAATTTACATGAACTGTACAAATTTACAGCAGTTCATTACAACATACCCAAAGAAAAGAAACTGAACACAACAAGGATGTACTGACATGAGATCACAAGATACAGCTTTCTTCTTGGGTAAGCTCAGATTTTTTTCTATTTTCTTGTTTTATATGTAAATAAGAAGAAAAAAAAAAGAGATAAAATACAGAAGGAAAGAAAGCAAAAGAAAAACAGGAACAAAGGATATGTCTATACTTACAGATCATGGAAACTAATATATTTTTTTTTTTTACCAAAACAACTTTGGTCCTTGCCAGCACTCCCATTACAAATGGCTTCACTCGTGAAAAATTACCCATGTTCAAAGATGAAATACAAAAATGAGAAATTAAAAAAAAAAAAAAACGTTTTGAGATAGCAATTATTGGCACTTCCCATGTGTAATGGTATGCACTTCACCATTTGTTGTACAGTTACAATACATTCTACAATATGTATGATCGATGACAATATTAACAAAACTCTGTTCCCTTCCGGTTTCATACTTTAACATGCACAACTTTTCCATAAGTGTATTAAATGTTCGAGGCCTGAGTTTGGCAATACATTCCAGGAGAGACTCCTCGCGTCTCAGACAAAGAAAAAAAAAAATAAAGTCACACAACTTCAGTTTGACATTTAGTGCATTTATGTGCTATTTTACTTCTGAATACTTGAACCACTCTCAGGACACATCTGTAACCTATGTGCGCACGAGCTGAATGAATGCAGTTTGAATAATTTCCTAAAATATTGAGCGGCGGTGTCGTTAAGGAATCTAAACGGATTTAAGTTCTAAAACCAAGTTAAAAGCAGAGCTAAAAAGAAGATGGAACAAAAATGGGAATGAGTAAAAAAAAAAAAAAGAAAAAAAAGAGCACATTTAGTGACTCTAAAAAAAAAAATGCACCGAGGGGAAAAAAAGTGAGACGAGACGATCATCTCGCGTCTGAAATATAGACCAAGCTCAAAACATCTTGTCGCGTTATGTTAAAAAGCTATAATGGAGCAGCATGTTTTCTAAACTGGTGCCCACAATGGAAACCAAACCTCTGGGCTCCCATCCATTTGGCCAATGTGGAATCACTGCTTTTCACAGATTGCTGAAGGGAGTATCAGCAAAGAGAAGATTTTGTGTGTGTGTGTGATTGGGGGGGATGTAGGGTTAGCAGTGCATCAAAGGCTATAGCTTTATTACCCATGATCCTGTCAGGCTTAGTGGAGCTTTAACACCCACAGGTATGGCGATGAGTGGCAAACCTGCTCTCCGCGACAGATTTGGCCAACACCCGTAGCCTGTTCCAGCATCTGTTCCATCATGAAGTTGTCCACTCAACCCAACCGTGAACGAGGTGCGGATGCACAAGACAGCTGCCACATCTGTTTGTATGCTTGTAAACAAAAGTTGCTACTCACTCAGTGATCAAGTGCGGCACAATCCAGTGAGATGAAACAATGGCCCAGTACCCTCTTCATCATAGATCCATGTTTCCTTGTCTCTTACTAAACCCCCTAATGCAGCTTGAGCACGCCAAGCACGTGCGCTGGTTATCCATCAACGCTGAGGGAGGGATGAGGGCTTCTGGTCAGGGTAGATGGGTGTTGAAGTCCAGAAAAGGGGGCTGAAGGGACTTTAGCTGCCCTGGATAAAAGAGTCTGGCCCTGGCCCCCTTTCTCTTCCACCAGCTCCCTACCCTGGCCGTCCATACCCAACTCCCTGCGACGATGAACGGTGATATGTGTCACATTAAGTCTACCTGCATCCACAGGGGGTCAAGCTAGCAGCTTGCTGGCTTTCTTTCAGCTGAATAGGAGGTCTGGGACGAGGGCGATATGTGGCACTTGAGGCACTGACCTTCCGCTACACTACTAGGAACAAGTTGTAGGAGGGTAAATGCTGCCAAGCTGGAAACAAGGCCTCTCCAATGAGGGTCTAGGCAGCAGAACACCAACTTAGCATTACAAATAGATAAATTTATGAGAATAAATTCTCCATAAGGCAGTGTCACCGACAGACTCTAATTACACAACTTTAGTAATTGTTAATAAAAACAGAGGACCAGAAAGAATTATTTTTAAATATCAACTCCTTTAGGGCAACGTCCCGTATGTTCATTATTTTATCAAATCAGTAACTGAAATCTAGGGAGGGGTGCAGCACAACTCTGAACTTTGTCTGAACTTTGTCAAGAGTCAAAAGTGCCATGGGAATGAATGACAGAAGGTCTATAACGTATCACCCAAAATACTCTTCACCCAAATCAAAGCCGGCTCTGAAATGTGGATCTATGCAGTGTTAGGTTTTGAAAGTGAGTCAGAGATGTGCAACCCCCCCCCAACAGACCCTGGCAGTTACGATATAAACAGAGAGCTAAAACTGGGAGAACTGTGTGAAAAGATGACATTCGAATGGATGGAATGCAGGCGATTTTTTTTCCTCTACAAAAAATGGTACACATTCCACACAATCTCACATCAAAGTGCATTCAGTTACATCTAACTGGGCCATGTGACCAGAATTTGGGTAAAAAGCCCCCCTTTTTGCTACACTTTCAGTTTTGGTAATGCAGGAAAACAGAAGAAACGGGACAAAACGAACAACACAGGAACTTGATTGTGAACTTCACAAACATTCATCAATGCAGGGGAACCCTCCCCAAGAAAGCTACACATAGATGGGTAATGGGGGGGGGGGGGATGACAGTGCAATGAGACACTGGGTGTTTTCTGAAACTCACCACTGATAACAGTAACAGGAGGAAGAGAGGCTAAGACCAGAAGACTTTGTTCCATTAGCTACAAAATAAAGATAACATGTTCCTGTGGTCCAAAAAAAGGTTTTAATTGAAAATGGAGATGTTCTCGTTTGGGCGCTTCTCCTCCCCTGAGCTTCGATTACTATGGGCACGGTCTGAACCTCAACTTCCTCCCCGTCTGGGAAACAAAACAAAAGACCAGTGAATTTTCAAATTCATGGGTAAATCCAGAAAAAAATCAATCCTTACAATTTACTTGGGTGGGTTTTTTTTTCAGTGCTTTGTTGAACCCATAGTACCCAAAAGTAAGAAAAGTGCAAAGTCACTGCTGATAGCCCCTTCAGAAATGGAGCAGATTACAATGATTAGTTGAGGGAGGGATGATGGGATGTTCAGAGCCATTTGGGGGGGGGGGGGGGGGGGTTCCTGGTTGGTTGGTTTAGCTGCCCCAACTGTTTCATTTCCACAAAGCCTCTTCTAAAAAAAAAAACGGAGTGTCCAGCTGATCCAATAACATAACGTTAACCGAGAGAGAAGGTAAAAAATATCAAACCTAAAGGTTTCCATCACCTGGATGATAGGCCACATCCTCTGCTTTTTTTTTTTCTTTTTTCTTCTTTTATTTCATTTCATATTCTTAGCTTTAAAAAGGCTCACCATGATCTGACCAGCCACTGTGTAACCCTGAACAAAAGTAGGCTGGGATGACAGTGTGCCACTTTAACTGGACACAGTCATCATATTATTGTAGGATTTGGAGGGGCTGGTTCTGCCCAGCACCCTCATTTCCTCCTTGCAGCTGAGGTGACTGTCCACCATGGAGCTCACAGACCCATTTCCCAAGGCGGAGCTGGCGTTGGCAGACGCTGGCATTCCAACAGGTATGGGCTGCGACTCGTACAGGACGCAGATGGAGCCGTCCTCGCCGATGCGGTAGGACACCTCGAAGGGGTCAACCCAGAGCGTGAGCTCGCTGGGCAGAAGCAGGTAGAGTTGCTGGATGGTCAGGCCAATGCGCTGGCCCGCCTGCCCCACCAATGGATCCATCTTATGGTTGATGCGGATGCAGCGGTAACCCGAACCTTTGCAGGGCCTGTCTGGGAACCAGTGGTGCATATAGTGCTCTGCAAAGAAAGAACAGAAAAAGAAAATCGGGGGTTTAGTTACAGTGTGTGTGCCGTTGATTTGTAGAAACGTTCAAAACAAGCACAAGGACTTTGTTGTAGGAATGATAACGAGGACAGAGACTGCAGGAACACCTGTTTCAGACCAGATAAGCAGCCATAAACAAGCAGCCAGGAGCACACTGAGCCTGCGTGACAAATAGGCTGCCCCTGAATTGCACAATTCCTCCCCCGGACTTCAATGTCAACAAGCCTCTGCGAGTGGCTGAAAAAAAACAACAAAAAAAAACAGCCGAAGTATCCTAGACGGCCATCTGGGACACAAAGCCCCATGTCTTAAAGGGACAGGATGCCTTTTTTTTCCTCCCGCGTTTGTAAAAGTTTTAGAAATCCAGTGATGACACAACCACACTACTTGTAACATTACTAATTGTACTGGTTTAGTCAAATCTTAACGTTGAAAAGAAAAGTTTGCATTAGTAGTGCATATTGCATTTCTAACTCTTCGTGTAGCACCCCCTCTTAAATTCAATTTTGTTTTGAACTTTTTCATTTTACATTACTTAAAAAAAAAACAACTACTTTTATTCTTCCAAGGCTTATCCATATTGAGTTCCCATTGATGGGACTGTATTGTGGCCATAAAAGGAGGGGGGGGTGGGGGAGTAGGCCTTCATTCAGTGTACAGCCCGGAGGCCACCTGTATGCATCCACAGGATAATAACCCCCTCCCTTCTTCTTTCTCCTCCCCCCTCAGCCTTATCACAGACAGCAGAGCTAATGGAGTGGCTGGCACCCTTGAAAGACCGAGCCACAAAGGCAGCTGCCAACCAACCCTGGAGCAGCTGGGAAATGATCAGCTCAGCACGGCCTATTCTTAAAATCGAGGGCACATGGTAGGAGGAGGGGGTGGAATGGAAAAGTAAGCAGACGCCTGTGTGCTTAACCCTAAAGAGTTTAACCAAAGCGCGTTGTTTATTCGTTGGAGCTGACCTTGAACACCAACGAAACAGGACTAGAGAACTGCTGAGGCTTGTTGGATGGGTTAGGTCTGCCAACAGTTACACAATTATTACCAATGGGACACGCTTATTCACCCCATCTGTTTTCCTTTTCTTCAAATGGACACGAAGCAAACCCATTTGGTTTATTACAAGGTAAATACTCAGTGTTGTTATATAAGACATTCAGGTTTGTATTTGGCACCGTTTTATTATAACTCGTTGACCATGCGCCAGTTGGGTTTCCAATTACTTTCATAAATAATCACCCACCAGTCTCTCTCCCCCTCCCCCACACAGACCCCTGGACAGTTTCAAACTTTTGCCTGCTCATAAAGAAAAGTGCACTTTTTCAGATGTTCCCAATTTGAATGTTTTTTGTCTGATTAAAATTGTTTTAATCCCACATATTTTGGTTTCATAGGAGATTAAGCGTGAGCAAAAGACCCTCTAAGAAGTTCTTGTTTTGGAAATGTAGGTCAGCTGCTGTATGGAGTGTCAGCCTGGAATGTTTATTTACAGGGAGGAAGAACAAACCACACATATGATCTGTTCGGTGAAAAACTCTAATAACTCTGAATAAAACCCACTTTTATGTCGTGCGAGGCGCAAAGGATCTATCTTATAAAAAAAAACAAAAAAAAACAATGCCACATATAAATAATCAATTATGAACTGATAGAAAATGCAGCAAAATACAATTTATACTGAGCAGTTTCATTAAATCGAGCGTGAACATGTTTCACCATTACCCGATTCCCTCCCAAGCATTACGTAATTAAGTGGAGCTTGTTTTGCTCAGAGCTTTGTCGAGCGAGGCGCACTTCCTTGTTTGAGCGTCCCCCCCCCCCCCCCATCCTAACATGCCCAAACATGACCATTTTTAACCTCGTTTCTTGTTCATAATGTCACAGGTAGACGTGTACCGTCGACTGATCGTCGAGTGCGCTCATAGTTCGCTGTTTATCTCCCCCCACAGCCCCCCCCCCCCCCCACTCTGACGTGCGCAAACGGTGGTGCGCCTTTTCTCTGGTCGCGCAGATACAACGATACTTCAGAGAACAAAGAGAGGCTTCTTCTCAAACCTATCCGAAGCCCAATTCGACTCCCTTTCACCAAAACAAACGCGTAAAACATTTAATTTGCGTTCAGCGCGCGTCTTGCGTGCGCATTTGGTTTTTTTTTTTGGCTTTTCTTACCTGCCAAAATGTCCTGTAAGCTCTGGCTGAACGTTTGGACCTGTCGGTCGTTTACGTGTCCTTTTACCCTCAGAAATCTCGACAGAAACCCGACGGCGGCGTTGATCTCTGGTTTCATGGTTCCCCGGGCACAGAGGGTATGCATTGAGAAAGGCCACGGCGACGATCCGTGCGCGTTTTGTCCGACTTTTCGCCTTCCTGCGCGATTCTGAGAAGCGATCCTTATCTTTTAGCGCTCCTCTGGTTTCTCTTGGCATTTATTACAGCCGAGGTGGAGGGGAGTTGTTGTCTGGTGGTCCGTTCGGTGTTTGGGAATCAAACTCCTGTAGTTTGCTGGTTCAAGGGGGATTGGGGGGTCCCCTGGTCAGATCGGATATCAGCCCTACTTCTGGCTTTTTTCCTCCAGAATGAGACCTACACAGAGGGGAGAGGGGTTTTTATACTCACCCCGCCTCCCCACGCCTTCTTTTTCACGTCTACGTCACAACAGCCTCCGGCAGCTCCAGCTGACCAATCGGCGGCTCCGACTCAGACTGACGAGCCGCATTTAGGAGGAGAGCCGCGCCTGCGTCACCGAGCTGAAAATAAACAGAGGCGCTCGGCGTGAAATCGCGGTGCGTTCAAGTACCCTCGGAAATACGGTGAATAAGGTGACGGAAGTAAACAAAAGCGATTGAATAGAAAAGCATAACACGAAATGACACTATGTATTCAAAATAACGCGGATTATTGATTAGAGTTCAGTATATATATATATATTTTTAAATTTTATTTATTCATTCAACCGGTTTAAATAAAGTTTGAATTAATGTATTACACATTAGTGTCAGGAGGACTAAAGTGGGCAATGACCCCTCCTTTACATTTGTTGGCCTCATCATCGGTCTATGCGGTCTTAATTTTTTAATTGTTAGCAAAATATCAGACTGGACTTGAATAAAACCTTCAAAAGTAATAATTGATGTACTTTAAATCCCAATACAAGATGGCTGCCACAGACCAAACCTCAAAATGTCTACAAATTAGTCATTTTTACACGTGTTGAACAAAAATTTGGTGTAGTAGCTGAGAGTAGTTTTCATCACATACACGGAATGATAAAAATTAGCACAAAATCTTTGTAGAAGACTTTAGCATGCACAAAGCAGGCAATGTGCATTCTTTTGAGGACTTATTCTTATAAGTCTAACTGTAAGCCTTTTCCTTAAATGTTCTTAATCACAATTTTTAGAGAGAATAATAATTTTAAAATGAGAATAAGTTTTAATAAGTTGACTAGTGACTGTGTTGTTTTCAATCAGCAATATTAGCTAAAATAAAATAAAACGCTAATTAAGTCAGAAGATTATTCCATCCAGCCATTTATTTCCAGCAAACTCCACACAGAAAGGCCAGAAGGTGATCCTGCAGCCTCCCGCTCAAACCACTGCTCCATCGTGCAGCCATAAAAGCTCATTAAATTATTTGATGGCTTCAGTTGTTGGTGTACCACCCCAAGATTAACAGTGACTCAACCATCCAGCCACCCATTTTGTGGAATTGCCCATGTTTTTATTTGATTTTATTTTTGCAAACCTCAGCATTCAATCACATTTTAAGTAAAAAATAAACTATTATCTTTACTTTGTTCTGAAACATTACAGACTGCAAAAAGAAGCACCAAGCAACAAAAATGACATCAGTCACCACAAAGAGATGTACATTTTTTTTGAAAAAGAAAGTAAAAGAATACTACGCGAAAGAGAAAAACACCACAGGCAGCTGCTTTTCTAACATCTTCTACCAGTATACCCACAGTTCCTCCTCTGGACATGTCCAGACCATCTCTGTCTGGCCTCTCTTAACTTTATCTCCCAGTTGTTCAACCTGTGCTGTACCTCTGATGATCTCATTACTAATCTTATCCATCCTTGTCACTCCCAAGAAGAACCTCAACATCTTCATTTCTGCCACTTCCAGTTTTGTCTCCAGTCTTTTTGTCAATGTCATTGTCTCCAGTCCAGCATATCTGGTCTCAGTCTTTAATTTCAAGTCTGAATAAAACTATTGAAAAAAAGTCCCTTTAGGCAGTTTTACTAAGACTGCAACGAGGGCCTCAGTGTGTTAAATATTTTAACGATCTACTTAATCAATGTTATTACATTTGGAAACGTTTTGTTACTGACTAGTTTGAGAATGTTTTTGTGAAATTTCAAATTAAAATCAAGAACTTCATGGGGCAAACCACATTGAATACACAGCAGGGGGTTTAGGTTATGAAAGAATTGATGCTATTGTTTGTGGGGGTTTTAATTGTGTCAGTAGAAACACCGTTTACCTTATAGGTTTTTCATTGTGCTGGGAGTTGAGTAGATCTGAGTGTTTATTCAACTACAAAACAGGAGGAGCATCAATCAAGTGAAAACACCTTGTGTGGAGGCAGCACTCTGCTGGATCGCTTTTAGGGGCATGTCTCTACGTGCTTATTAAAATCAGTGGAAAAGTACAGGCCCTGGCTCGTTGTTTATTACAAATGCAGACGTGATAACCTGCCGAGCTTTCTAATCATGATGCAATCAGGGAGGCAATGACCACATCAAAAGGTTTACTGACCCCAAGGCGTGCAGACACACTCAAAGACGTTAAAGACGAAACGTTTCTACAATTTTTTAAGTTTTTTTGAACCCATCCAGAGAACCTGACTTGATTTTTTTTTCTACCTAGATTATTGAGCATCAGGACACACTCAAAGATTTTTATTTTTATTTTTTATGTATATGCACACTAAACATGCTGAATAAAGTCAACGTAATTAAATAATTATTCTTGCTGAAAAACTGAGCATCATCCTGGATGTATGTCTTGCTAAAACATAGTTTCTTTCAGACATCTTTCTTATATTTAGATCTAGAGGTCAGATATATTATAATTTACAGCACATTATTCTAAATGGAAGCTGCACACTGTAAAAAAAAAAAACTCTTTTGCATTGTCAGCTTTTGCAAATTTATTTTTAGTACACCACCACTAAATAAACAGTGAAGACAGACTGATCAACATGATTCAAGATGGCTGCCACAACCAGCTGACCTTAAAAACACAGAATTTGGCTATGTGGTATACTTTGACTTACAACGATAGCATCATTTGGCTTTTTAATTTGAATTCTAATTGACTTGAAATCCACATTCACAAAAAAACAAACAAACTCCGTTCCTAATCAAGTTCACAAGAACTCCGAGGGCAGGGAAATCCTCACATCCTGTTCAGGTTCATGCATGTGAAAAACCCCACCTCGTCGTCACAAACGCACTCACAGTCATAGTTTCGGCCACGTTTGCTATTTTACAAAACAGCGGAGGGTTTCAGCCAGTAAGTTTCTGCTGTTTAGAGAAAAACACATACATGCATGTCTTTTTGTTTTTGCTCCCTAATAGCAAGGTTGAGAAATTAATTCGTCACAAATCATATGTATGTTTTGCAGCATGGCGTTTTCACACAACTTCCACATTTTTGTCTTGTTTGCACAGCAGACAGAGGAAAATTCATGCATAGATTTAAAAAGTTTACAGTTCAGAAGCAGTTTATTACCCAGCATGGCCTCGGATCTATTCTAAAGTTTATCTAAATGATTTTATTTCAATCTGCAAAAAGATATCCAATGAAAATGTTCACAAACGTATTTACAACATAAGATCTTATGCAGTTCATCATGAAATGATACAAAACAAAGATATTTGCTTTTGTGTGAAACCAAAAGAACACACATCGTATTACATAAAAATCAGGCTTTCTTTGTTTTCCAGCAGTTTCTATGTTTACCTTCTGAGGCAAACTCATTTCTACGGTTGCTGTTACGCAATGTTTTCGTTGAGTCGTTCCCTTATTCTTAAAAGAAACATGTTTTTGCAGTTGCTTGTTGCTGGAAGGGTGGTGTTGCTCCACCTTTTTGATTTACAGCTTCCAGGAGGCGTGCTGTGGAATTTAGGTCAAGTAACATACCTAGCCAGGTTATATATTTTTTTAACACTTTTCCAGTTTTGTGTGACTTTGGCTGCATTCCTTGAACTGTTGTGTTGTAATATTACCCCAGCGTGGACTGGGACTCCTGTTGGAAGGCGGTGTTTTTGTTTATGCTGATGATTGCTGCACCGTCCGACGTTCTCTTCGTGTTGGGGGTTTAGTAACGTCAAAAAATCTTCAGATTTAAAAACCGCTGCACATTTTTGCAAACGTTTGCATCGTGAAATAATAAAACATTACACGGTTTCGTCAACTGGGACTCCTAACTATATGCAGCTCCCAATGTTACAGCTTGGAGATGTTCACATTGAGATAAAGCTACATTTATAATACTAAATGTGCAGGAAGTCATAGAGTCTAACAAATGTAAGCTTAATCTTGTTTGATTAAAAAAAAAATCTCCTGCCAATCCAGTTTTTTGTGTTTGTTTTAGCAACATCTAATTTTCCGTTTTGGATCACAGAGCCAGCGAGAGTTGTTTTCTAGCCCATCGTTCATAAAAGTTGAATCTGTAAATGTGTTTTTCTCTCTATTTGAGCTCTCCAAGAAACTCCTCCACCAATAATCATCATGGAGTACTTTATAATCTGTTTTCCAGAACTTTACTGCTCAACTAAGCACTGTTTGTGCTCAGTTTTAGGACAACGTCTGTAGCTGGGATGATTGTTCTACACCTCATCTCATCTGTCACATGTCATACACATAACTGCCACTGTTTGACTCATAACCAACATGAATTCATCATCAAAAGACCAAAAAAGAAGAAAATGCTACTCTTTTTTTTTTGGGATCTTTTTCTATCTGTGTCTGGGTAGGTTGAAGTTTTTCCCATTAAAAAGCCAGTTGTGAGCAGTTTATTACTGTAAAACCTTCAAGTGTCAAAAATAGCACCAACATGATGAGAAAACTCACATAAAACACTCAGACAGAGCAATGAAGGTAGGAAGTTTGTAGCAAAAGGGCATCGGCAGCAGTGGAAAAAGAAACGGCTTGAACGCAGGCGTAATAGTCCACATGTGTATAACAAACATCTGTGAACAGGCAGCTGCCTCATTACAGACGGGGATTGTGGGAGTGTGTGGCTGATTTTTCACAGCTCAGCAGGGGAGACAAAAAGTCTCACACTGTAACGGTGAAAGCAAAAGTAAGTCCAGGCAATAACAGAGCGAGTAAAGAGTAACCAAGCCTGGAAATCCCCAGACCTTCCTGCTCTTTTTGATAAAAAAAAAAGAAAAACTATGGACATGGCACACCTGAAAGAGAACAATGAAATGGTTTTAATGTGCGGGCCTCCAGCGCTGGGTCCCACTGTAGCCAGACAAGGGCGGGATATCCTGTCGTTATGCTTGGTCCTCAGTTAGGCGACTAATGAATGAAGGCTTTTATCTCTAAACCACTCATGAGCTG